GCCCCCATTTGGCTATCGTTAATGAGATCATGAAACAAATGCACATACATATTTGGGACATGATGTACTTGTGTGTGTGAAGTTTGAACTCGATCAATCCAAGCATGTCTCAGATACGGATCCAGAACTGAATTCTTTAAAACAAAATGGCCGCCAGTCAGCCATTTCGAACCCGAGCCACAAAAAAAATGATGTGCATCAAGGTCCTATTATGTTTAATGTATGTACCAAATTTGAACAAAATCCGTCCATGCATAATTGAGATCCGGGTCCGGAATGGTGAAAATGTGCAATTTTGATGCATTTTCGGCTTTAAAATGGCCGCTATTCGGCTATCGTTAATCGGATCATGAAAAAAATGCATGTGCATATGTCCCATAAAATGTGTGATGTATGAGTGAAGTTTGAACTTAATCGGTCCATGCATGTTCGAGATATAGGTGATCACGGACGGACGGACGGACGGACGGACGGACGGACGCACACAGGGCAAAACATAAGTCCCCGTTTTCGGACTGCGTCCGAACGGGGACTAAAAATGGCCGCCAGAGGTGGTAAGCTAACCTATATATGTACTAGATTGTAATATGAATCAAAGTATGCATGCCACATATATTTTCTTGTCTCTGTGCAAGGATTAAATCACATCAGTCAATTCATGAATTAGATATTGCAGATGAAAACTGACATTTAAACAAGCAGCCTCTTGGCTGAGATAGCTCTGCTGTTAGCAATGTACATTTTAATTAAAGAACAGAAGATATTAATGGAAAATGAACAAATTGGAGAGCGGTCTACCTGAGGTATAGTATCAAAGCAATCGAACTTGCGGTTTTTAACAAAAAGTCAAAAATATTACTTTTACCAAAAATGACAAAAATATTCATCAAAATTAGAGAATTGAAGATATCATCAGGAAATGAATAAATCCGAGAGAGGTCCACATTTAGTATCTACCGGTATATATATATTATCAAAGCAATTGGACTTGCGGTTTCAAGGAGTCAAAAAAATATTTTTTTACCAAAAATTACAAAAATATTTAAAATATCATCACGAAATGAACAAATCTAAAAGAAGTCTGGCCAAGGTACATATGCACCAAGTATCAAAGCATTAAGAATTGTTACAGTAGTTTTCAAGAAGTCAAAAAAGTAAAAAGTTAAAAAATAAAATGGCCACCATCACAGCCATCTTCATATATCTCCAGAAATGCATGCAAATTTGAATTTAGTCAAGTTGCACTTGTAAACCTATATCAGTTAGTTTATAATAACTCCAAAAATAAACCAACCCGAAATTTATCCAAAATTAACAAAAAAATTTTAGAAAAATATAAATATTTAGAATTTAGTGGGTTAACATTAACACCATATAAAAAAACATATGGTTACTTGTAAGTATTCTAATTAAGGTGTCAATTTTAGAACACTTCAATCGTTCCTGACGCCTAAATTAGAGTCCAATTTTGTTTTTTTGTAGGCTCTGATGCCTATTCATGAATACAATGTTTTACTGTGACAAGCGTGAATTTGTAAACACAGTTTCAACAATGAGCTGCTATTACAGTGAAATGTTACATACTTCTATGTTCAATGTATCTTCTAAAAATTACTAATTTCCTGTTTTGTTTTTTGTAAAAAAAAAACATGCTGCTTTTGCACCGAAACCAATGCCAAAAGAACGTACTGTACTGCAACATGGAAACACATTTGAACATTGATCGATTTAGTCAGCTGGCAGCATTCTGATTGGTTAATTACTGGTCAAGGAGGCAGTTTCACATCAACTTGTGCATCAAAAAATCAATGTGGATATCATTTCACATCTAGTGTTTGCATGCAGCCTGAAACATTTATTATAATCAGGATTGAATAGCATTTGAAACACCTCAAAAACAAGTATGTTATTTGCATTTGACCGAACTGCACTACTGTGATCATTCATTATTAATTAAACATTGCGTTCGTGTTTGTTATTATTTTATACGTGTTCTATATTTTTCAATACCAACCATTTTTGTGTTGGATTATAAACTGTTTGTGATACAACTGAAATTAACAAGGCCTAATGTCTAATTTAGATTGATGCCTAAATTGAAATAATTATAGTATAATAAAAGATTACCAAACACTATGATTTCCTACTATCATTTTCTATATATTTTAATTATCTGTCCTAGCTAGCAGCTTTCTCTTATTTTATTAAAGATACTTCACAGACGGACAGATGCACAGACAGTCTAACAGACAAAGTGCCATACATACAGGGTTCTGGCTGTGATTGAATTAGGGATTAACCCAATTTATTTCAAATTTGACATATGTATACTATGTGGTATCAAATTTATTTCTGTGGTTTTCTGACTTATTCAATCATTGATGAATTAAAAATAACGGTATTTGTGAGTGTAGCTCAGAAAATCCACCTGTCCAACTGATTAATGAAGCAAACATTGTAAAACTCAAACACCATAAAAATTGAATGTGTGCATTTTATGGTGCAGTCAGCAGTTGGTTTTCACACACCTGATACATTTCCATTCAATAGAAAGCCCGGTATTCATACTACTGTACCTTTCAATCAGTGTACTTAGAAACTATTCAAACATTTAAATGTCTTCATTTCCTTTTCATTTTACTCTCTTTATACACGAACGGAATTTAGATATTATTTGTTATCGTGTAAGTCTAAGTTACTAGGCAACCAGGGAGATAAGACTTATTTCGAAGATATTTTTATCTAAATATTTCTTTAAAATTTATTTCAATATAATGGCAGTTCTGTGTGATAAAACAGTATAATAATTTCTGATATCACCATATTATGTAATAATAATTCAAGTAATCTGATTGGTCTATGTAAAGCAGTTGAACTTTTGACATCATGGCTGACAATCTTCATTTCAAGAATGAAACTATGGTGGCTATATGATTGAGATAATTGAACATTTTTAATTAAAGCAGAGGCTTCCACCTCAAGGGCTCCATCTATTTAGATAGCAAGTGTCATTTAGAACACTTAAATAAATTGAACATTATTTGACTTTGGTTTGATTTTTGGTTCCTGTCAATGCCAATGGTAGGTGTATTTTCAACTAGCTTTGTAGAATCTGTAAATTATTACATAATTCACTCAATGAAAGATTCTAGTACTGGTCGAGATAGTATATGAAAAGATTAATTGTATAAATAAATAATAAATCAAGAAATTATATTTTGAGTCAAATTTCTGCGAAAAATTTAATGCATTTAGGGGGTGGGGCGTGATTTTGTGGTGGTAGAGGTAAGTTACAATAGTGGTACCGTAAAAACTCAAAAATTTTAACCACTTTTAAAAGAATTTTTAAAGGGAAAGTCATTGATTACAAAAAAAATTAAATGGCATACATGGTGGATCATTTGTTCTGAGAAAGTAAAATTTACGTCAAAACATACACAGAATACCATCATTTGCTATCTTCATTGGCAAAAAAAGAAACTGAATAAGACTGAGTTAGCACGACAGAAAATATTTATTGCGCTAATAGGTAGAATACACTTGTTATCATCATGAAAACTAATTCAGTGTTCTTTTTATTTTTTAAACAGTGATAATCACCACTTTAAAAAACAACAAACAGCGAAATCAAAGCTAATACGTCATACTTCAATGTTCATAATAAAAAAATGTACTTGATCGTCAAGAAAGCAAATCTGAAGTGGATGAAATTTTAGAAAACTAAAAACAGCTAAATTCAGCGAACAGTCAAAATTTTAGAAGCCAATTAGTATGAAAATCTGCAAAATAATTACAGGTAGGTGTTCTTTTTAGAGTTTTTACAGTATAGTTCATGTGAATGCACCTAGAATATATAAAATGAAGGATTATCACATCAAACCTTCAAGCCATACCTACACTGTAGCAATAACATGGTGCAAGATTACTGATGTTAACAGAGTGACTAGCTTCTCGCATACAAAATACCCAGCTACAAATGTAAGGAAGTTGAGTTCGTAACAAGTGAGATTCATCATGGGAGTACCGTAATGCGATGTAAGAAGAAAAAAAAACATCTCAAGAATAAAATATATATTTGTACACCCCGTAGAGTTCCTTGATGTCTCTAAAATTTATTTCTATTTTATAGCAGAATACAGCATGCCTATCGTCATAGATATTCAGTCATACCAGTCATAAAAATCCTAACTAAGTTAATCTATAATTACTAGAGAGATAGAAATCATAACAACCTGCTGAGATTATGGTCGGTCTCATTAAAGATTATCATCATGATTATTGGAATAAAACCAAAGCAGACAAGTTAAAAATAATAAATTTTTCAAGGTTCAATAAATGGAAAGATTATGGTATGAGAAATGTCAATAACAAAAAGCATGGGGAAATGCTTATGGCTTAAAAAGATAAAAACAGAGACAGAATTTAAATTTATTGTCAGAAAAAAACACAGATATGCAATAGCTATCGGAAAGGGCATCAAATGTTAATCACTTTGAAATGGTCAACCAATTAACTAAATTGCTATCATTTAATAGGTTGCCTTTAAGAGAGAACAATAATCAAAATTGCACTTAAAGAACGGCAATGTGATTAAGAATGACAGCGTTAAATATCACTGCGTCAGCCATGTTTGAGTCAACATTGTGGACAGATATGACTTTAATTGCTTCATTTGGACACTCACAGGACCACTGTGGTACTATCTAATCTTTTCTTGCTGAATTCTCTTGTCAGCAAATTCACTTGTTATTTGCGAATATTCAGGAGACTGGGGCTAATATAATAATAACACTAATGCCTTGTCTGATGAGGCATCCTAACAAATATAGGCATCCAGATTTTAAGTATGTGTTTGAGGACTCAACTCAAATTAAAAGCAGCTAGGCTAGAGTAAGTGACAAAATATTGAAAGTTTCTGATATCCTCAAATTCTATAGCCTTTCTATAATGCTGGCAAATGCTCCAAAACCTATATAGATATCTTGGTGTTAAAATACGATAGTGATAGCTTCCATTCAATATCAGTTACATAGTACAAATAGAAATATGAAATTATTTGAACACAATGGTTGCTGCAAAGTTCCTCAATGAGCTAGTTCAGGAAATCTTGAAAAAAAAATCCCGGATATGTCTTGTAAAATCCTGACTGAAAAACCTGATACAGCATATCATATGCTAGCAAAGTCTCTGATTTGGTTTTTAAAACAAGTAACTCTAAATAGTAAACTGGTGTAACTTTCAAAGTATTCAGCTTATTAGAGGAAGACACACAGCACTTGTAAGTCAACACTTTTCTATGAATACAAATACAGAACTTGATCTAGATGTACTCACCATTGGGTCTCGCTCAGAATCGTAAGGACATCATCAAGTTTTTCAGGGTCAACTATCTCGTCATAAGTCAGCAATGATTCGTATAGCTTGTTTGCTGTTGTTTTGCGGACCTGCCATTTTAGTAGATATTACAAAATGAACACAAGTATATTTTCAGTAGTTATTAAATATGCATGGGGTACATACAGTGGAGGTGAGATATAACGCACAGTGGTGGTGATAAAATTATGACTATTTCACCAATCAATAGAGAACTCAAAAACGATTCACAAGCTGAGATGGGTATAGGGGACACTCAAGCATTATCACTGCAGATGAAAAAGACACAATGTATTCAGTGTATATAATAAACGACTCGATGAATTCAAACTATGCTAGCGTGACTGTAAACATCATCTGAACAATCTTTTTCCCATTATAAATTAATACACAAACAAGAAATGATCTGGATGAATTTAAATTGACAAGCCCTATAGTATTTACGGAGGTGAAAATAAAACCAACTAATTTATGTTGTGCAAAATTAACTAACTCAAATTCACTCCTGCGTGAACCAACAGATTACGCTTTTTTTTTCAATGACTGCATCATTTTAGGACCACTTTTAAATATATGCAAATGTTATCATTTATAAGCATGTTAACAGAATGTATTACTCCCAGCATGCATTGTTTAATTGTACTGTATTGTGATTTGTTTTTCATTCTTTAAGTGAATTAAATCTGATTTAGAGTGGAGATGAGTATCAGGATGAAGTCAATGTCACATTGACCCTTTCTCAAGATAGCAATCAGATTCAGGCGAGTCATTGACAGAAATATTATAATATTTTTTCTTACCTTAGGATATTTATGACACAGAAATAACATGAGCTGTGATAATGACTTTGCACGTACAACACCAGAGAAAACAATTAAACCACAAAACCTGTAAAAGTGACAATATATTCCTCTATTAGTTAATCTTATAGAAGACAATAACAGTAGCTTGACAAGCAGCTTGTCAGACACATTGTCTACTATAAACACAGACATTTTTACAGCCAATTAGATTAGATTTCCTGAAGGTGACTGTGACCCTCAGTTAAACTACAGTAACTGAAATTTTCACTAAACGGAATACTAATAACATCCCGCCCTTGGCACAAAAAATTTTGAATAAAAAACATAAAAAATGAAGTATATCAAACTCTGAACCAAGACGATAAAACATATTATTACATATGTAATGAGGTATTCATAATTACAAACTTTTTCAATAATATTGGTATTGACTGCAAAAATATGCAAATGAGATAAAATAGTCCTTTTTGAAATTGAGTTTACTTGACAGTT